GTAAACGCACCCACAGACACGACACAGCAGAAAATCATAAGGTGGTTGCCCCACCTTAGAATCCTAAGGTGGGGCAACCACCTTAGGATTTTCTGCTGTTGGTTTTGTTAAAAAAAAAAATGTCCTCACGATGTTTTTCTTCACCGTTTGTCAGTGATGTCTAAATAATCATACAAAGTACATTTAACTCGGGACAAGTCACATTGGTACTTGCCAGCTTTGAAACCCGCATCCTTATACCTACATAACAACTTAACCTCTGGTCCACCACGGCACAATTTTTATTATGTTAAAGAATTTTCTTTCTTTATCACCTAAGTGTGGGAGAGCCATGCTTCGGCACGAATGGGTCGGCTCGACCGGAGTGATACCATGGCCTCACAGAAAACCGGCGTGAAACAACCACAGTGTTGTGTTTCACCATGTGAGTGAGGTTACCGGAGGCCCAATCCTGCCCCTATCCAATCCCTCCCCAGTTCCTAAATCTCCAAATCCCTAATCCCTAAAAGGTCGGCAACGCACTCGTAACTCCTCCGTTACAGGTGTCCATGGGCGGCGCTGGTTGCTTACCATCAGATAATCCGTCTGCTCGTTTGCCGACCTATTACATAAAAAAACACCTATCTATGTCATCCAACATATATTTCAATCATTTTCTATTCCATTTAGCAACAGTTTCAATCATTTTCATAGTAAATGTTACATGTATAATTTGTAGAACGTCTCCGTTACTCAAATTCTCAATGATCTATTGGGACCTGTTGCCAATATTCACTGTTTACCAATGCACGTCTGGAATTGGGTCAGCTTGCTTTGACGACGTTTGACTAGTCGAGTGGGTATTGCCTGGAGATCATTTATAATATTACTAGGTTGGTACTTTATAGGTCTCTCTTTGGTCTATTCGTTGTAAGCCAGTGAAAAGTTAACATATCGAGGTTTTTGGTAATACATAGAAAATGTTCTGTTTATAAGTGTAGCTAATTTACAAGTCAAATATTTATTTATTTTGTTATATGTACAGGAAAACCAACAGCTATTTAAATTATTTCAATAATTACAGATTAACATCCAAAAACCGATTATAGGTTTTCATGAGTAGTAATTAAAATAATTTATAAATACCTAACTAATGAAACGATTATCAACAATTCAACCATTCAACCATGATTTTTATTTTTATTTAATATTAAAACTACCAAAGTATACTTACCATAAAATTATTTATAAAGCAATCTGTTAAAAAAATAAGCCGACATCAGAATCATAAACATATTTTTGACTAAATAAGATGACTTCTTCTTTATGTGTAATTAACAATTTAAAAAAAAAATAGAAAAGAGGAAAAATTATTAATAATGACAAAACTTTGTGACTCCTTGCAAGCAGTTTAATACTGCTGCTAATCAATGTGTGTTGTTTAATCATTTGCATACCAATCTTAAGAACCAATATTTCTGCTCTTTTGCAATCCAAATATCCCCATAGTCCTCAAATCTCTAACAAACCCCCAAAGCTAAGCAACAAACTTGGTCCTAACTCTTTTGGTGTTGGGGCGGCTCCAATTGTTTGCATTTAGCTGAATCGACTGTTCGTTTGTCTCCGTATGTTAAAAAAGTCTGAAACTAAAAGGTATGAGTTTTGTTTTAATTTTAAAAGCTTACGTAATAATATTTTTTGTTACCTTTGCATGTGCTTTATACTGAAAATCCTCTTGATTACTACATAATAAACAGGAAAAAAATATAGGAAAGAGTAAAAACTCTTTTCGTGTATTTTTAGGGTTACCTTTGCGAAATTTTCGTGGAAGTTTTTTGTGTCGTCACGGTCCTCTGTTCCAGGATATTTCCATAAAGAATCCTTACAAAGAAAAGAATTGTTCTAAATATTTAGGAAGCCTGAGAGATCCCGACTTCAACGGCTCTCTAAGCTTTTGTTCGTCAAAATGAGACTTTGTTTGTTTCGTAATTATATTTATTTAGCTGTACTGAAGTTGCTTTCATTCTCTTAAAAAAAGGAAAAGAAATGCTAGATATTATTTATTTGTTTACTTTACTTGGTTCACCGTTATTACACTTATCTACGAATACTACTCTACGAGTTCATAACAATTCCTTATTAACGATATTGTTTCGAGTGTAACTGCTGACGAATGTAAAGACTAGGTAAAGTAACCGTTTAATGATTCTGCGTACGACGCTATACCACGATTACTATATATTCTACTTATATTATTAATCCGAAAGTGTGTAAGAATAGTAGGATATATTTGTACTGTTCAAAAAGTTTACAATATTCATAGATAAATCTAATCCGAAACAGATGCTATCTATCCTATTTAATATAAAATTTATTCACCATTTTAATAATTTTTTATCGCTTATTTAAACGACAAATCATTAACTATTAACAGAAAGAACTAATTAGTAGACACACAATTTCGGTATTCCACGTGTACCTAATTCCGCGTGAGGTCTAAGTTTGGACCTCTACAAACTGCTAAGGTAAACAACCTAATCTGATACTTAAGCCTGTTTACAAGAAAAATCACAACTTTCCCTAAACACATACAATTAACAAACACAGTACCGTGATCACTTACTTAGAAACAAATCTTCTAAATGGAGAACAAATATGCGTTTGAATTTGGAAGCCCTTTGGGTGGCTCTGAACTTTTGTTTCTTTATGGATGTAATTACGTTTTTATAAATGGGTCACAGAATAAAAATATTTATTTGATTAGGGCTTTCATACAAGAACCTTTTTCATGACATTATATTTGAGATAAGCCAAAACCTATGATCAAGATAAAGGATAAGTTCCTATCTTCGTTCTTTTTTGCTTGACCTTCAAAAGTGCCTTTTTTGGTCTATTTGAAATAAAGAATTTGATTTGATTGATTTGATTTGATTTCGATATACGAAATGTCACAACAACAATATTATATTAAAGTATCAAAAATAACATACGGTTTACGATTCGAGTATTATATATAATCGAAAGTTTTTGAATCATACCTTGACTTATAAAATGGAACCGTGAGCGCAACCAACGACGATGAAGTTTTTAGTTTAAGTTTTAAAGATATCCAAAAATATACAAACGACATTTTGAAAAACATAGAAACAGAATAGAGAGTGATACACATGTATCTGGTAGAATGTTCTATCGGAATCTATCACTGTATAGACTGCATTACAGACGGGGTCTGGATGTTGAACGTCAGCAGTTGTCTCATTACCTTTGCGGGCACGTTCGTAACAAGACGCGTGACAGACGTTGCTTTCGATACCAACTTCTTACTACATTTTAGCTGAACGAAATCTAATGTACCGACCCAAGCCCGTAGCACGTATACGACCTTTTGTAGGATAATGTTTTTTCCTATTTTGGTATTTGTTATTTGCTTTGTATTCAACCGAAATATAACAGATTGTTAGATGAATTAACGTTAAAAATATTGTACTTATTTTATCTGTAAAAAGTATTAGATAACTGTATACAAACTGTTCTTATTTGACTATTCCATCATCAGCCTATAAGTGCCCACTGCTGAGCAAAGGCCTCTACTCATATGGAGAAGGTTAGAGCATTTATCACCACGCTTGCTCAATGCGGGTTGGCAAATTCAAACTTATAATAAGAAATTATAAGTCCAGGTTTCCTCACGATGTTTACCTTCATCGTTTGTCAGTGGTGTCTAAATAATCATAGAAAGTACATATAATTCGGAAAAAGTCACATTGGTACTTGTCAGGATTCGAACCCACACCCTCATGCATGAGAAGCGGGCTCGTTAACCTCCGGTTTGACTATTCACTATTTTTGACTATTTATTTTCATTTATAACCGAAGCAGGAAAGTATTTGAAAACAAAACCATTCGATTTTAGACAGTACGTATTGTATCTATTTTTACCTTGAATAATTATTTGTAATACATTTGGCATTCGCCGACATCTAAACAGAATAGAGGTATTTTTATCAACCAATGATTCGCTAGTTAAAACTATGTACCTGCCTACTTATTTTTACACTTTACCTCATTATAAATATCTAAATAAATCTCCTGGCCTTAGCTCAATTGGGTTAGAATCTTCGTAGAGTGTTACATTTTTCGCTATTTTTTTTTTCATTAATAGTATTTGTTTTATTTTCTTTAAGCTTATCTTTGTGGTTGAGTTTTGCTTTAGTTAGACTTCATGACAATACATTAGTTCACATGGTTAATAGCCATTTAAATTATAAACATAAGTGAGACACTAACTTTTGTTTAGACTTTATTGAGTTTTTTAATAAAATCCTTGACTTTCAACCGTCCTTACAAATAAACAAACAAATGGTTTATTCAGAGAAATTTTGAATTACAGTTGGGAGATATATTTTCGAACTTTATTACAATATTTGAATTTGACTTTTGTTGGACTCCCCTCAAGCCTTCGTCTTTAGTTTCGCTTCGCCGACTAATATTCAAGAATTAACTATTCTGAAAGACGTGACCGATCTCAAATGGATCTCTTACGTCATCAACCTCAGTTAAATTTCTTTTATGTGAGTCAAAGTTCAGATACTTATGTTGAATTTTGATGGCACTCAACTACATCGGGTCGCCATTAATCATCGTCTAAATGACATCCATAATTATCTTGTCCTTACGTATATCTGTGGCATGACCCAATTTAAAATATAACGTCACGGCTTAAAAAAACATTATGTGACTAAATTCTAAGTGGGCTTTCGAATAATGACTATTAAATTGGATTCTTGTTTGAGTAGGGTCTTTACTTAACATAATTTGGGTAATATTACTTGTTCGACGTTTTTTGTCATTCTTCGGTATATACCCATCAATTTACTACGGAAACTACTTGAATTATTAATTCCAACTCAATTACGATAATTTATTTGTAAGACAGATAATTTTGAAGCTACCTGTACTTTACATTTTTTTTCAAATGGCTCTTCATTTAGTTAATATAAAAATTTTGATTTTGTTCACAGGACCAAGAAGGGAAAGAGGTGGCGGTCGTCCCCAAATGCTGTCCAAGTGGACAGAATCTCACAGTGGAGATTGTGGATGGAAACGTGAAGACAGTCTGCTCCCGGTCCACCTTGACCTTCCAGCCCATCTTCCATCAAGCGAACAAGACTCATATCTTCAGTTACGACACCAATGTGTATGAAACGCTTGTCGGGAACCCATGCCGCTATGAAAAGTAATTATTTTTCTTATCAGAATCCTAGATTCTTTTTTTAAATTCAACGTTTTCCGACGCTTTAGAGTTTGCTCCTGTATCGTTTTATTCATTTATTTGAAGTTTGTAGTTTTTGTGTTGGAATGCTTTAATAGTCCTAAAAGCCTTCTAAGGGATGTTAGGTGCACTTTAAAGTATAATTATTATTTTTTATATTTACTTCAAATTAAATGTTGCACAAGTTAACATAATCTTAATAAAAAAAATATATCGCTTATCATTTGAAGATAAAGCAATACAATTTAAATACTTGCCACGAATGACTAATAGTTGGGGACTACCTAATAACAAGAATGAGATAAGCTTCGTCCAATGTTTTGTAATTATTGTGTAAGTAAGAGTTTTTCAAAGTGCCTAAGCTCTTTAGAAAATGTAGACCTATTTCTTCATCCGTGAAATTCGAAATCTGGTTTCAAAACATACGCCCTACCAAAGTTAATAGAGAAATAATTTTAATTGATTATATTTGCTACTCTTTTAAGTTTTATTTAGTTATCTGGCTTTATTTTATAAATTTACAAGCCCTGGCTTCGCTAGGGTGCAATGTTAATACTACATTTCTTTACTTCTTACATATAAAACGTCCTCCTCAATCACTCTATCTACTAACAAAACCGCATCACAATTCGTTGCGTAGTTTTAAAGATTTGAGCATACATAGGGATATAGGAACGGATAAAGCGTCTTTGTTATTACTATCTAACGATATCCTCAAAATAACTTTATACCTAAATAGCTCCAAAATAAATTTAGAATTCGATTGCAGTAATAGTTAATGAGTTTAAAATACGTATACTCGTACAGATACAAATGGAGATATAGAGGTACCTACATAGATAATGGTCAGGTTTAGCGTATGTATATATAACCTATTACCATCTTGCTTATAATAATTATTATTAATTTGTTAAGAAAATTATAGTTCGATTCAATACAGAGGCAGCAATTATTATTTGGCTTCTGAGCCAACTTATGGTCAAAGTAGATATAGCTTCATCAAAAACCATAGAGGTAATTTGTGTCACAATAGTACTCAACTGTCCCATCATTATTTTCTGAATGTAAATCATATAATTGTCCAGATTGTACATAATATGTTTCTTGTCCTTAGGTACAAACTGGAACCAGATGTTCATAGTGAAGATGAATTTTACCTACTGGTGAATGGGTCTCTCTTCGTTCCGTACTCCCGACCCTACCTTTTGGGTACTCGGGATTATTGTATGGAGACATTTTGGAATGAGTCAGTTCCAGCAGGAGTTACTTTACCAGTTGTCTGTTTTGAAACTCCTATGGAGGATACTAAGACATCGTCGACACTTATCGCCTATGCCACAGGTTTGTATTAAGACATGGAACAAAATATCAGTTCAAACTTTAATATCTGCAATATAAGATTTTTAATTTCTTCTCCTTTTATGTTTTAGTATCATCACATTAATTTTATTTAGGTGTTTTTATGCTAAGTCAAAGTCTCGTCGTTTCTTTAGACCGTGGCTTTTTTATACGTTTTTCCACATTAGGATTAATCATCATCTTCAGTATCGTGGGTCGTATGTGGGTGGTGCAAGAGTACAAATTGACATACACGAGCCATCTAGACCTGAAACAACAATTTGTGGATCACACAAATTGTTGCTCCATGTGCCAGTTGCCCAGCTACTGCGCCAACCGAAAATATTATAAGTTTGCGAGTGAACCGCATATACTACTCTGTCAAGAAAGTACCGGAAAAAAGTCAATAATACACAAAATGTTTGTTATTCATCTAAATTTATTTTATCACCTTCAAAGTATGCTCCTTCAGAAACGTTACACTTACGCCAACGAATAATCCAATCATCGAAACTTTTTTTAAACGCTGTTTCCGGAATTGAGTTCAGTGCTCGCCGCGAATTCTCCTTTATGTCTTCTAACGATTGAAAACGGGTGCCACGAAGGGGTAATTTGAGTGTGGGAAAAAGAAAGAAGTCGGCTGGAGCCATATCTGGTGAATATGGTGGCTGCTCGATGGTGTTTGTTGAGTGTTTGGACAAAAAATCGTTTACAATGATGGCCTTGTGCGAAGGCGCATTATCGTGATGCAAAATCCAAGAATTTTCTTTCCACATTTCTGGCCTTTTTCGTCGAATTGGTTCTCTTAAACGCCGCATAACGCTCAAATAATATTCTTTATTTACCGTTTGACCTTCGGGCAAGAATTCTGAGTGCACAACACCGCGATAGTCAAAGAAAACAGTCAGACTTTGACTTTTGATCGACTTTGACGTGGTTTTTTCGGTTTTGGTTCAGTTGGAAGGCGCCATTCCGAAGCTTGTTGACTAGTTTGCATGTCAAACTCGTAAACCCATGTCTCGTCACCAGTAACAATGCGTTTCATGAATGTTGGGTCGGTATTGACTCGTTCTAGCATGTCCTCAGCGACTTTCATGCGATTTAGTTTTTGAAGAAAATTCAGGTCTTTTGGGACTAGCCGAGCGGCAACACGTTTCATACACAAATTATTTGTTAAAATGGTACGGATCGACTCGTGAGATACAGAAAGTTCGGCGGCCATCTCTCTCAAACTTGAATGAGGATTTTCAGTCACTATTTCCTTCACTTTTGCGATGTTAACTTCAGTTGCAGACGTTGATGGCCTACCAGAACGAGGCAAATCTTCCATCACATCTCGACCGCTTTTGAACGCTTTGTACCACTCATAAGCACGTGTTTTTGATAAAATCGATTCACCGTAAGCCTTCTGTAACATTTTGAGTGCCTCCGAACACGAAATTTCATTGGCGATGCAAAATTTAAGACAAACTCTTTGTTCGATGTTTTAGTCCATTATGAAATTCGCAATACACACTAGATATTATAAAACCAAAAACAGCACTGTTTTTAATATAAATAACAGATGCAACTCAAATTCCGCGCCAAAATGGAAAACAGTTATGCCAATCTAAAAACAACAAAAAAAAAAAAATCGAATTTGGAACCATAAAAAAAACATTAATTCCCGATACTTTATTGACTGAATGGACATATAACTCTCAAACGCAGGATCCTAAAATTATTATGAAATCTTATGTCACAACTTTTATATTTACTGCTTATTATTAGGTATATCAAATATTTTATCAATAATTTTATCGTTATATTATATGCAAATATTTAAAGCGACTTATCTTTATAATCAAGATTTCCGTTTTTAAATTACTGATAAAACGCAGATTTGAAACGATTGGAAGTTCCTTAAAATCAAGGTTTTTATTCTTTATTGCAATTTGATAAGATTGATAATGTACTTTAAGTTGCGCAATATTGTTCAAAAAAAAAGTTTTTATGATTGGTCAATATGTTTCCTACAATATTGAGGTCGGTGTAAACAGAAAATAATAATACATTTTCTATGTGAATCCCATGGGAATCCACAACTGTATGTTTTCAGTCCTAAATAAATACCAAGTTGATAACTAATTAATTCTCCACTTTTTGTTTTTACTTACCAACAAGAACAAATTGTTAACTTTGTTTTACGAAGAATCTAGTTACTGAGTTACTTAACTATTTCATCGTTGTTATAATAGTAGAAGAAGATTCTCAACAACTTCCCAACCTTTTATGGAAAACTTATAAGTGTATAGTATAAAAGGTTTATTGAAGAATTTCTTCCCAAGTCGGGTTGAGGGCACTAAGGTAAATAAATTGTACTCTAATTAATAACATCACAATATTCAATTTTGTAAGAAGCACTACCTATCCAATGAACAAAATCAAAAGATCTTTATTGAAATCCAAACAAATATGAAACATTTAATTAAACTGGTTTAAGTAACAGAATTGTTATTAATATTTATTTATTTCTATAAATTTTGACTGAGATTTGGTTCAAACAATAAAATGTATAGACGCTAGTTTATCATCAATCATCTCAAATTGCAAAATTTATCCAAAGGAATCTCAACTTTATTACAAAGCAATATTTTCGAAAATCAAAGTCAAACTGCTGGCATAATCACAATATATACTAATTTGTTCTTTATTTCCAGGGTTGTTAATATCAGTACCGTTTTTACTGGCAACGGCTTCAGTATACCTCTTTATCACGGAGCTAAGGGATACTCATGGCAAAGCCCTGGCTTGTCACACCGTGTGCCTGGCACTTGCATTCACGTGTTTAGCTGCCACCCAACTAGCTGGCCACGCATTCCCAGCAGCTGCTTGCACTATAATGGGTAAGTTGTACAAGTTTCATCCTTACTCAGAGTCAATAGGCTAAGTACCCATTAATTGACTCAAGTCCTCAGCCATGGTTTTCGAAATAGAATTGTTACTTAGGAATGATTTTAGTTAGCATTAAATGCGAGTACCCTCAAAGGCAATGCGAACTCTAGCGGCCTAAGTCGAAGCTAATGGTGCTAAGCGAGAGAAACTGAGAGCCGTCTCCTTTTTCTGTGAAGCAGTTATGCTCGCAAAGAATATTATGCGCCAGCCGCCGCAGTAGGCTATATTCCGGGCGTCGGAGATCGAGAGATGATCTCCGGTCACCGTAAGCGCGGGTCTGTAGACGGCGAGTGCAGCATGTAGTACTGATGCTCAGCCGGGGTTGCAGGGCAAGCGCAATAAGACACCGTGGCGTCGATGGTTTGGGAAGAAACTAGGGGTTTTAGACAGACTCCCGCCCTATCCTTGGCGGGAGTAGTCATTTGAAATTAAACTCAGTTGGCTTCAAACAGGCCCACCTAGAACTCTTCGGGAGAGTACATGTAATTAATGCTCATAATTATAATAAGAATTGAAATAGAGATCTAGAACGTAATAATAATATTGTATATGTCTAATACATAATTTTGTTTCAGCATATTTGATCCAGTTTTCATTCGTGTCATGTTTCTTCTGGCTGAACGTGATGTGTTTCGATATATTTTTGAACGTTCGGTAAGTACTCCATTGTTAAATATAACAATATTAAATGTATCGTTATTAAATTTATTACTCGTTTCTTTACGAGCTATTTCGTCGAGCTTTTAACATTTATTATGTTAAGTGTTTACGTGTGAAGTATATGTAAGAGATATTTTTAAAAATGTGTCGATTATTATTATTGCTTCTGTCACTTGAGTGATTACCTTTTTAGGCTTTTGTTGTTAGTACCTCAATAAAATAAAAGGTTTTACATTAACATCCCACACTCTTCCTTGACGATTTGTAGTCGAAAGTGAAATGTTTTTTCGAATTCCCTCATCATGGAAAATACAAATTATCACTGGGAGTTTGAAATTTTTTAGCAGTTGTTGACTTGGGGTATCATGACGGACTCACCAGGGATTATAAATGATCCTGTATGAGTCTTGTGTAGTGTGAGACTTTCGTATTGAGAGGCAAAAGTCTTCTAATGACTTGGTGGACGTGGTCAAGAGGGAGTGTCAGCCTGTTACTGACTAAAAACCACGCCATCTGTGGAGCTCTGATGGCACATTTAGAGGGCAGAAATTTGTTTGCTAAAAAATTTGTCAGTTATCTTAATATTTAATTTAAGTTTATTTCTTTATACAGGAGGTACATCAACGCATCAGTAACAAGACGCAGCATGAGACGAAGATTCGCATGGTACTGTGTCTATGCAGTTCTCTTCCCAATCCTGCTGCTCATAGTCACCATTACCATGGACCTCTCACCAGCAGTTCCTAGCACCTATCTGAAACCTAACTTTGGGGTCAAGGGATGCTGGTTTAAAAGTAAGTTGGGATTTTTATTCTTTGATTATCAGCAAAAACACACACAGACACCCATATACTCATCCACATTTACAAACAGTCGCGTTTATAATATCAGTTGAATGATTCAAGGATATTTTTATAAATGTTTTTCTACATAAAATTCAATATTTTTTCGAGATATCTGCGAATGTTTTTTGCTGAGTTCGTTAGTAAAATCCGTTTATTGTCAATTGCATTTTTGTTTGATTTTACGTAAGAATGTTGAATGGAATTGAATAAGAATATGTATGTGTTTGATTTGGTTTGTGAATTGTAATCGATGAACGTAAATAATACAATTATTGCATTTATTACGAAGCACTGGTTACAATTATAGTATAAGGAAATAAAAATAATTAGACGTTAATGCTACACTTAGGCTCTAGAGTCTATGCAGTAAGTAATAATCCACAAAAATCACAATTTAATACTAGCTTCCGCGCGCGGCTTCGCCCGAGTGGTATGTTGATAAAAACCGCAGCAACCTATGTGTTAATCCGGGGTAAACCTGACTATATATCAAATTACAACTAAATCGGTCAAGATGTTTTTGCGTGAAAGAATACCTAACAAACATACATCAACACAACATTTGTAATATTAGTAGGATAACAACCCCTTTCCACCGGTCTTATATCGACAATCATCAGCAGATAAAATAAGTACCTATAGACAGATCCAAAAATACTATAAATGTGCCCCAGCCATGCCATAAAGAAATGCTACCTATTTTCAACCATAACATTCATTCTTTTTTTTGCAGCTGATCAAGCAGCGTTGCCATATTTCTATGGACCAGTGGCGCTGATCTTATTCAGCAATCTTTGTATATTTTTCTTCACTTCAAGAGCCATTGCGACACATTATGATAAACTAAAGGATGTTACACGTAAGTGTTAATTAGAATTTTGGTCTTTATTTTCTATATATAAGACGTCAAACGCAATCTGACGGATTTCCTGAAGGTAAGCAATTAGATGGACACCCCCAACATTGGAGGAGTTACGAGTGCGTTGCCGACCTTTTGGAGATACGGGTTTTTGGAGATTTCGGGATTGGGGAGGGATTGGAGGAGGGGAAGGATTTGGGGTTCTGGTAACCTCACTCTCCCAGCGAAACACGACGCTTTGGTTATTTCACGCCGGTTTTTTGTGAGGCCTTTCCGTGACTATATTTGGAATATTAGACAAGTGAGCGTTAGGATCACTTGATGGTAAGCAACTGTTAATAAAAAGTATAAAAACTATCATTTGGATCTTTTCAAGCTACAACCGCGCGGTTTCATCCGCTGCTGGGCTCCTATCCAATTAACCAATAGGCATGCTTCCTTGATAAAAATGGACTATACACCATATAAAGAAATTGTTGAATTCGAACGACTAGTTCTTGAGATTGACGTGTTCAAACAAACAATAATTTTACTATACATAGATTTAGTTATAACATTTTTTTTTCTGATTGCCAACCTATTACTCAATTCTTCAAATTAATGAATATAGCTATGAACTATGAATATACTATACTTTCAAAAGCTTTATCCTTTCTTATAGACTGGTCGTATGTTTTTGTATGCCACACACGGTGTGGTTGTTATCGTCATTTTATTGTTTAAATCTCAAAAACTTAATAGTGTTCTTGCTATCTTTAAGTAAACCATGTAGGTTTGTAAACAGTATGACATTTATTTAGAATTATTCCGTAAATACACAATACTGTGATAAAAAAGATGCAGAGTACAATTCAAAATAACAGACTTTATTTTAGGGCATTTTTTAAGTACCATAAATTTGAAAATGGAACGTAATTTGTATGATCTATGAGCCGCATAAGTTTATCTGATACTGTAATGAAGGCGGTGAAAGAGGCGCTTAGTGTCACAAAAATTGTGAGCTTCTATTAATATTGTAACATCGTCAGAAATTCATCCGTTTAATTTTCACAATAACAGTAGACTCTTTTGCCAATAACTGAACTAATGAAAAGTTTACTTAATTATTAACAACTGTTAATATTGACAGACTTTGGACAAGGAAGAATTGCTTCCTTGTAAAAGACAAGCTAAAAAGCATCTGTAGTGACAATTCTCATCGGTCATTGTCCTTTTCTTAGTTATTTCCTTCGCTTGTAAGGATCGTGACTTGCGATTTAATGCTCTATTTTGGCATGCATTCTTAGGTTATTTTGTTATCCTGTGTCAGTCTTTGTTGACTTATGATCTTTGCGATATTTCGAACAAGTTTCTATTCGTTTTTCCTTAAGTTTACTTTAAGGGTCTTCTTATCTACCTATACTCAAATATTAAATTAAATTAGCGGGCCATTAAATATTACTAGATTTTGTTTTTTCGGTTGAAAATAGTATAAGGGCTAAATTATAATTTTATGTTCTCTTCTCTATAGCTTTAGATCTGACACACTCAGACTTCAGTACGTCAGATGACTGGGTGCGACTCAGATCAGTACTGGGGCAGCCAATACAAGAAACGACATCTTCACCACCGCAGGAAGCTCCCACGAACTTCAACCAGAGGCTTAAGAAGTACAAGAAATTGTGAGTTTTTGTTTGGAAATTATACTTTGTTCTACCATTTGCTTCCATATTTTGCATGTTGCAAAGAAATTTGTAATACATTTATGAGTAACAAATTCACGCGTTATCAAATCAAAAAAATCTGCAAAGGGTACTATTTCTATTTAAACTTTTTTTGTTAAACTACAACCTCTTTTGTTGCCAGGTTCCGTATGTGTTGCCTCCTTTCGTTCATCATGGGGTTGTCGTGGGTACTGGAAGTAGTGTCATGGGCGGCAGGTGCAGGCTCTGACGTCATGTCAGTTTGGTCCGTGTTCGACCTTGTGAACGCGCTGCAAGGAGTCGTCATCTTCGCTATATTTGTATTACAACAACCCGTCCGTTCTCTCGTGAAGGTTAGTAAAGGTTTTATATATGGGCTCTTATAATTAAAAAAATTAATAGAACAAGTTTCACTATGTCAAATTGGGCCTAAGATGTAACCTTGGGCCATACCATGAACAAACTATGTCAAACTGTATGCTCAGATACTAATGTGTTATATTTATAATACTTTAACGATGTGACAAAATTTTTGTATTAAATTTACTAAAACAACTATTTTTCTCGACAGTCCTCACATCTTTTCTCGACCTGCAAAAGGAAAAAGGACGGCTCAGAAGTGTCTGTGGTGAGTGAAAGAAATAGTATCATCGCAGGCGCCGGGAGAAGGGACTATGTGTAGTTCAGTGAAGTGAAAGACAATGTAGTCAGTGATCAAGTGAATGATAGTGAACAAGACTCATCTCGTGAACAACTTGTTGACATTCAAGGTAATACACTCGAGACTGATAAAGGTAACAGTATTATTGGCTTTGAAGATTTAGTGATGAGTGGTGCTCCTCGACTATACGAATATGAAAGAAAATAATTGAGTATTTTATGTTGTTTTAAGTTCAAGTTTTTAATCGACAATGTTTGAAATGTGGGCGATTGAGTCTATTAGAAAATAAAAATAAATGGTTATGTTATACTTGTTGTTTAAAGCCATTTTTCAGGGAATCACGTTTGAATGCCTTGATGGAATTGACTTTATGGGTCACGAATAGTTCAAAAACGTTGTGTGTAAGTTGCACCCTTTTTAAATGTGAACCAAGTTAAGCTTTGGAACCACTCTCATTGAAATCTTCAAAGCATTGCGGAGGAACTGTGAAAGGTGTATGAACTTCATTCATGATTTCATTCCTGTGATAGAGCCTTAAAACTTGTTTATAATATTATTTGCAAAAGTTCTATCGTCATATTGTTTTGCTTCGATTGTTTGTTTCGTAATTATAATTAGTGTAATATGTACGTACTATGAACTAATAAACGGTTTATAAGTTAATTTAAGAGTTTAAGTTACCGTGTTTTATGGCTGGGTGCTCTAGTTGATACAACGATACACAAGGCTTACTTTATTATTTAAGTTACGTATTTTATGCAATTGTTATATTGATTATGTTTGAGTTTATTCAAGGCAGCCGTGGCTAAGATCTGCCTAACCCAGCCTCGCTTGTTAAACATATGGTTGTTAATACTTAGCGTAAGAAAATTAAATATTTTTATAAAGTACATGACCAAGTTAATGATTTTATCTAAGCATTAGCTGATGTGACCTCTGCATCGGAACCTACATTCTTGATAGACGAAAATATGTAGTGCCATACGATAGAAAATAGTTAACTAAAAAGTGATGCATTTTATTTCCTTTACGAGAGCTAGTCATAATTTAAATTTAATAAATGTTTTAAGCAAGTAGGTTATTTAATTTATTTTCGTAATTATAATAATTATTAAGGTGGACATTTTTGGACCCATATTTGCTGACAAGAATATCACACATGTTCTGTAGAGAAATGATTTCAACTGTTTTATTGTAACAGTTACATTATTATCAATGACAAAATATTCGATTCGTTTTAAATATTTACATGGAATTGTATTTATTTCTGACATTTTCTATAAGACAACACAAGAATTCATCGAATTGTTGACTTTTGTTATTCAATATTTATCCTTATACTATAAATAAACGGTTTACAAGTAAACCTTCAATGCTCATTCATATTTAATGGGGACAGGAAAATATTGTTCTTTAATAAGTGATTTTTGCATAAATTAACAAATGCCATTCGGAATCCGATTTTGGGGAATTCTAGAAAACATTTTAAAATTCAACTATGTATGTTATTTCAGAGGCCTAGTCCAGATAATATTACGTATTTAAAAGTCTTATTACGATTCCAGTGTTGTTTTGTTTTTTTATTATTTTTGAGACATTTTAACATACAATCAGTTGACGTCATTTCTCAAGTCGAGGGGTCTGAAGCGACAAAAAATGAGCAGAAAAATGAAAAAAAAATATATCTGCAAAATTAACACAAACATGTTCACACTCAACTAACTTTATATTATTTTATATTCTATTGGGATTCGATCAAATAAGCATTTCTACTCGTAAATTATTTATTTATTTATTTGAAAACTAGCTTGCAAATGTTATCGGTACTAAATTAAAATAATATTCTGGATAAGACTGGTCGTATGAATAATGAAACGGGAATACGTAATATATTAAAATACCATTACGTGTAGATAAGGAAATGTATGTGTAAGGTTTGATGGAGAATGTTGAAGGGGATGATGTAAGTCGTAGTCGGTCGGGACCAAATGTTGCTCGTCATTACGTCACCGAACGCTTTTAGGAAAACTTCGCGATGTCACCTTTTAAGACAATTAGTCTCGTTTTTGTACCCGCTTGAATTGGGCTCTTTAACGACTTTTTTTTTCAAATTGTCCAAAATAGTACGGGATAGTGTATTGTTATGTCATGTTTTTCTACGTCAAATGTGAATCTACATGTTTCTTAGATTTGTTATTTAATGTAAATAATATATAATGACTCTTAATATTTTACGTCGAGGAATAAAAGTTTATTAAATATTGCATTAAGAAATCTAAACAATATACTTTTACCCAATTAAATTTTACACAAACCTACTGTTTGTAATTCAATATAATATGAAATTTTATAATTCTTTGTGTTAATATTTTTTGTTTGTTCTGTGCTTAACGTCTTCGCTAAAGATTCATTAAAATATTTTATATTGAATTTCTACTAAATCAAGTCGAGATGACGCCACGAACTTAATTCACCTACAAAACTAGACTAACTTGTCAATCTTCCTCGAATTCAAGATATGTAAATATAGGTATTGTACGTTATTTAGTTGATTAAATAAGGTTCATTATTGAATGCAACGTTTCGTCCTTTACCGAATACGAATATACTTCAATCCGTGTTTCTTAAGTCAGCTATGCTTTCGCTAAACATTATTTTTCGTGTGAAAAAAATTTAAACCAAGTTAAAGGACCCACGACAATAATTAGTATTGTAAACTTTAAGTACATTTTTTTATTTGTTTAAACCCAACTGTTATGTTCTATTATATTCATCTATTCTATTATATTTATCTATTATATTGAATATTGAATCTTTGTTAACAGTAAACGAATATTATGGAGCTAATGTATAAAGCTGAGTTTGTAAAAAGTGTATTTATATTAAACGGTAGAACACATTTACTATGTTTTACGAGACCGACGGCCTCTGAACTCACTTTCTTCGTAAATTTATACAGCTAAAGTTAACAGCGAAAATTATTTTTAAATACTAGTTCATAAGGTTCATAATGCAGTGTCTTGTATTATATGGTAAACGTGTTTCCTGTATTAAAGTTAGCATGTATGCGTGTGTAATTATGTATTATATTAATTGTTAAATGTTGATGCGGATTTTTTAAGTGAAATGACAATTTAAAAGTGTATATTTGTCTATTTTGCAAAACATGACGTTAATAAACAAGCTTTATATAAAATCGTATTCGTTTGTTTTCTTTTCCTATTTATATAATAATCGTCCTTCATCGATCACTTATTTAGTGATCGATGTCGTCCTTGTACGAAAATCAAAGTAAAATACTACCACTTAGGGCTGATTTTTCAATAGTCAGATAAATTTTATCTGAGGAATAAAATTGTTGCTGTCACTGTCTTATACAAACATTTCGACGCGACAGCATCATAATTAATTCCTCATATAACTTTTATTTAGCCACTGAAAAATCAGCCCTAAGTATTATTTCAATAGAAATATCAGCGTCAATAAATTCATATAAAGTTTATAAGACAATAAATATTATAAACAACCCCAAAACAAACTTAGCCAATTATGACCAACTTTACTCTTTGTATAGATTATTTCTGTATTGCATTAAGTTAGGGCCTATTGTTTGATCTGTCTTCTGAATTGGCATTTGTAATAATAACGGACCACAATAAGGGCTGCAGGAATCCTCATTCCCTTAGTAGGGGGATCCGGAGATCCCAGTAAGGGAGGGGGGATTGTGCTTCCACCGAGTAGACGTTAATCTTGCGGAATTCCGAGCAAATGCGGATAGATCCATCGCCGCTATCCGCTCCTCTCGATCCCGTTTCGAATTGCTGTGAATTATTTTTCACATTACCAAATCGACTCGGATTTGTGGCGAAGTAAGTTTTTGTTAAAAATACGATCAATGTTTTGAAGATACGTTTGTTAGGAGTATCTTAAATTTATTTATTTATTTAAATAATACGGTACAAAACTAATTACATATATGCATTGGCGATGAGTGAGAGAGAGAACAGTATTACGTAGGTATTTTATGCTTTTCTGTACTGTTAAACCTCTTGAAATATATTTTCTTTTTCTTTTTTGCTTGACGTTCAAAAGTGACCACTGTAGCCTAATTGAAATAAATGATTTTGACTTTGACTTTGGCTTTGACTTTGACTTTGACTATGGCTTTGACTTTGACTTTGAACGGTAAAAATTTACTTAGCATCGCATAGAAAATTTCAATAGTGTGTTCATTCTACAATTATAAAATAGGAACTGTACCTACAAACGGAAGATTTGGGGAAAATTTCGGAAAATCATTTTCTAATTCTCAGTTAATAGAATTTTGAATTTGAAAAAGTATTTTGTGCAGTTAAAGTAATTGTGTCATTGCACAAATCTTTTAAAAATTATATTGATTTTAAATAAAACATTTTTAAAGAATAATTCGTTTTATTATTAATAAATAAGTTTTGTTTTATTTTTATTCCACCTAACATTCATGCATAAACACAACCCATCACCATCAATTTCACACTCTATAAACATAAAAGAATACACTACCCACTTCCTATAACAGCCACGCTTTGAAATATGGCTTCCCAAAGGTTTTCCAGCTAGGAGGGGTAATGGTGTTGCTCTGTTTATAGCCAAGTGTGATTGATGGCCCCTTATCTACAGGTGCACGTTGCCCCTGAAATATGGACCTTGCATATTTGGGGGATTAAGGAATAAAAGTAGTGTGGGGCTTGCATTACGGGATATTGGGCTGCCTCGGTTTTATGGAACATTTGCGTTTGGAGGAAGGATTTTGGTCGTTGTGTATGTAGATGTTGCTACGGTGACTCTGTAGGTGTAGCAACTATCTAGGTACCTAGTACCTACTGTGTTAGTACCGGGCTTAGAAAAAAATTCTCATTTATGTTGTCGTCTGTTCTAAAGCTTAACTCGGTAATATGTGGTACCTATTGCGTTTTATGGTTTACTACCAAATTTTATTGACTTATCTTATTTCAGCAATCCTCAACTGAGTGAAAGCGTCAAGGCCCGTAGCATATGTCAACTAGTTCTTGGCATACTATCTATTTGATTTTATTTTATTTTATACCTACATTTTTGTTGACAGCACGATGTATGTCGGAGCTTTTTAGAATTAAGTGAAATGAGTAAACTTTCGTAGAAAATATACTTTTAATTTTAAATACACACGCAAACAGGTGAGCTCGTTGTATGACCCTTGAAAGTTAAGTAAGAACAAGTTATTACTTACATTCAATGTAATATTATAATGTATTTTGACATTTCAGTC